AAGATGACGGGACACTTCTGGAGACCCAGGACCTTGGGCACAGCACAGGGTTTACCTCAGAGAGCCCAGAGATAACTGCAGGCCCACTACCATCTACGAACCACCAACCTAGAGAGCACAGGTAGAGCCAGCGGGCGGCTAAGGAGGGAAAACCACCACCACAAAAGGATGGTTTCCATGAGAAGCTCCATCTAGATCAGTGTTTCCCATTCCGGTCCTCGGGGACACACAGACAGTCCATGTTTTTACTCCCTCCCAGCTCCCAGTAGGAAGAAAAAATGTGGACTGTCTGGCAGGTGGCTGGGAGGGAGCAAAAACATGGACCGTGTGTGGATTCCCGAGGACCGGGTTGGAAAACACTGGTCTAGACAGATCAAGAAATAACCCATCGCATGACACGTCACAATGCCTGTGCTCTGTCCCAGAGCAGCTCTGCTGAACGTTTCCACAATGAGGGAATCTCTGACAAAGGGCCGTTTCCTCCTTCCCAAAGGGTACTGCCAGCACTGATTCACCCCAGAGGCGGGCCAACCCGGGGGGAGGAGGCCGCTGGATGCCGCCAGGCACGTGAGCTGGCCTGTCTGCGCAGCCTGCCCAGGCGTTTGCTCGACGTCCGCCGGCGAGGGAGGAGCGAAAGAAGGCAGCGCATTAGCATCCACTAAGGTTGGCACAGCTGTCTGCGATCAAAGAGGGCATTTTTCAGCAAGTCAGCAACATAAAGACAGGGAAGCTTCTGGGACAGGCAGGACAGCCCCAGCGTTTTATGGTGGCAGGGGATTTATGGAGATACTGCAAGACAGTGGGGTTAGAAGGGACCACCTTAAAAAATCCACCTAGCTAAAAATAACAACAAAAAGACACCTAGTGCATAGTGCATTTGTGAAAAAAGGAGTGACTAAGAGGAAGGAGGAGAAGCAGAGAGCACTAAGCACCCAGGAAGAAGATACCGGGCAGAGTGCCAACAAGGAAAAACAAACAAACAAAACAAAACAAACAAAAAAAGAACAACAGACAGGTATGTCCACACAAACAATCCTTCCTACATATGACTGATGACTTCTACTTGGCACCAGTAAGAATCTAAGAATGAAGGCCCTTTGCGTTTAATGACCATAAAAGAACAAATCGGGACCTTGTCCATGAGCAGCCTGTCAGCGGCATGCCCAAAAACGTGACTCGAGGGCCAGATTTTGGGAAGCGACCATGCAGAATGGAAACGACAGCAAAACGCTGATCTCCACGATCCTGCTCACGAATGGCAGGAAGCTCACTGGACAAAACGGGGCAGACGGGAGTTAACTAGGGTTAAAACAAACCCAGTGAACTCAATCAGCACTGAGGAACCGTAGCTGCCGAGTCCACAAGGTGGCGCACTGCTGACGCGCGGCTGCGATCTGCTACGGGAATGTCAGCCTGGCCCCGAGCCAGGAGACGGACGCATGGGAAAGCTGGGGAATTCTGGGATGCCGCACATTCTCAGACCATTTCCTGTGTCTCACAGCCCCAGTGCGATATCCTGGGACTTGGTGGGACAGCACTTTTCCACCAGCGTGAGGACGGAACGTGCTGGATGAGGAAGGACGCTGTTATTCAGAAGGAGACTCACAAAGGAGCCCATTCATAAGAAACAGAGGTTTACCACGCCGATTCGGCATATGTGGGGCACCTGAGAGCGGCAGGACCAGCACCCTGCCCGGATCGAGCAGGAAGCCGGCCTCCCAGGCTGCTTCAGGGCTCTTGTTACCATGGGGACCAAGTCTGCTTCAGGCCTCTGGCCACTACCAATGAGGAACAAAAGCCAGGGGGCGCCAGAGCACACGTGTAGTGAAGTAGAGTCGTAAAGAAGACGACAAACTAGGGCTGGGGTGGGGGGCTGGAGAGAAGGGGGCAAAGGTCAGGAAGACATTACAGAAAAAGCTAGAGCTGGCAAAGGTTATTAGTGCTTAATCTCAGCTAATTGGATGTAAGGATTCAGCAAACTCCCTGAGAGAGAAAGAGACAGGTGAAGAGCATTCTGAAGGTCGGGGTGGGGTGGGGTGGGTGGGGTATGCCGACAGCATGTGCAGGAGCCTCGGCACAGAAGGCAGGCAGACAGACAGGCAGGCAGGCAGACAGAGACAGACAGGCAGACAGAGACAGACAGGCAGGCAGGCAGGCAGACAGAGACAGACAGGCAGACAGGCAGGCAGGCAGACAGACAGGCAGACAGAGACAGACAGGCAGACAGACAGGCAGAGACAGACAGGCAGACAGACAGGCAGGCAGACAGGCAAGCTCCAACAGTGGGCTCAGTGTTCAGAAAAAGAGGGGCACGATCTGAGTGTTTGTTGGGGAAAAAACAGGACTGATGAGTTATCTGATAAAACATACATGTAGCGTTCAGAAAAACGGGCAGTCATGTGTGCAGAAAGCGCATGGTGGTGCTGTGGGGGCTGGGTCCAGGTGGGAACAGGGCGGGGGGGCTCCCTGTCAAGACGGAGGGTCAGGAGGAAACCACAAAGGAGGGTCAGGAGGAAACCACGGGGAGGGCTACGTGCCTCTAGCACACTGGGTCGCGGGGTAGATGCGAGGGGGGGGAGGGGGGGGGGGGGGGTGGAGACCTGGCCAGGCACAGCAGCACCACGGAGCCGAATCGGAGTTGGGCCTCCCTCAGACCGTCCCAAGCCTGGCATCAGCAGACTTTTCATGAACTCCTCCCCCTCACTGTACCTGGTGTCACCCCATGGAGGGTGTGGCTCGTGACAAAGGGGAAGCATGTCAGGCAGAGGAAAAAGGGGGGTTCATTGTCCTAGAAGCATCACTATCAGAAAGGGCATACAAACAAACTGTGTATATTCTAATCCGCAAGGGGACTCTCAATTCATTTCTATGGGAAAACACTAATCCCAACAATGACGACCCTAATCCCCCCTACCCAACAATGACGACCTTAACCCCCCCCTACCCAACAATGACAACCTTAACCCCCCCCTACCCAACAATGACAACCTTAACCCAGCCCTAACCTTAACCATAAGCAACCAAACAAAATACAGGACTTTTGGGATTTTTTGTTTTTTGATTGCAGTCACAGTATTTTTATGAAATTGAGTTTCCCCATGTGGGGACCCAAAAAATGTACCCCAAAGGTCAAAATAACAGGTTTTTATGAAATTGCAGGGACCATTTGTCCCCATAATGTAACATATACATGAGCCACACACACACATACATACACACACATACACACACGCACATTCACAGAATCGCTATGTAAGTCAGGATAGCCACTAGTACTGCATTCTGAGACAAAAAAGAAAAAAAAATCACTTTTTAAACAAAAGAATCTGCTATTTTATACAGGCACGTGGGCTGGCCAGCTCATCTGACAGCAGGCCCACGTCCGACCACAGGGCCGGGCAGAACCAGGGCAGCGGTCAGAACGGCAACGCCAACACTCAAACTCGACAGCGAGAGAGCGGCGTGCAGCAGCTGGCCTGGGCTACGTTGACACAGCACAGCCTGGAGACCGGTCGGGGGGGGCAGCCACCAGACAGACAGGCCACAGAGGAACAGGCCCACCCTTCCCGAATTCAATGCCCTGAAACGGCCGTCGGCAATAGGGCCCCAGGTCTGGGGCGTGACGTTGACAGAAAGCTCACCACTCAGACCGCGCTGTCGCAAGAGGGCGATAAGCGACCACAGTGATCTCTGCAACCTCCCGGAACATTCTGTACTGGTTTCAAGTGTCGTTGTTCATGAAATGTATATAAATAAAAACAAATAAAGAAAATTAATTCTAAGTTGGATGAGCTTTTCAAGGATGTGCAATGGTCAGGCCATAAGATGTCTTAACCAGGACATCAAAGCCTTTAACACCGTCTCATAATACGAACTGACTCATTAGCCTCAGTACTATGGCTCAGAACACAGCACAACTGCACACTGCACTTTAATATACACGAATACATACTTTAATATATGCACACTGTACAGCAAGGTATATTATTACTGCAACATACAGTGTGTATACCTTACATAGCTCCTATTTTCTTCGGAGTGGCCGGGGGGTACATTTCACTGCATGTTGTACTTGTCCAACTATGTACGTGACAAAAAAATAATCTTGAATCATGAATCTGATTCTGCTTCAGGCTTTTTTCACATATAGAATCACAAAAATCGAGGTTCCCTCTGTACACGCATCTCGCATTCGCAGCTTACGGGGCGGTACTCTTAACGGAGGACGCCTCGAGCAGAAAGCAGGGCTGTGGCAGACGGCAGGATAAATATCATGCACACATCCGCTCCTAGACGAGCCCTTTGCTCACCATGGATGCGGTCCCAGGCCCAGGTATAAATAGATGCTGATAAATTTAGCACGAATGCAGTGAACCGCTGGAAAGCTGTGGGTTTTCACAAAGCTGCCTCACGACCGTGGCCTTGGAGAGGAACACGGTGGCCCCCCCAGTGGGGGAAGGGGGATGGAGAGCCACCGTGCACTGCAGAGACGGGCCGGGCCGCGGGCACTGCAGAAACGGGCCGGGCCGTGCCGGCGGGCACTGCAGAAACGGGCCGGGCCGTGCCGGCGGGCACTGCAGAAACGGGCCGGGCCGTGCCGGACGGCACTGCAGAAACGGGCCGCGCCATTTGCACTGGAGTGGGCGGCAACGCACGGGTATGAACAAAGCAGCAGTGCTTCAGCGTCCCTGCTGTGACGAGGGCATGGAGTCCCATTACGCGGTAATAACACAAGTGACTCCCTCCCTTCCAGCTGGCCACTTTAAATAAAAGCAAGTGAAGCAGGAAGCAGATGAGCTGGCTTCTGAGCTTTCACATCCGGATGGGATTTTTTCCCCAATGGATTCGTGCCTAATAGCATTCACCCCCCAAGTTTAAAAATTACATGAGAAGAAATGTGACCCCGCCTCCACAGGGGTCCATCAGCACCCCACCCAGTCACGACGCCTTCTGTACTCCGGCTTCCACTCAAGGAAGGTGTCTGGCTGCAGAGGACTCACCTCGTAGGACCAGACGCACTGGACCCCGGCAAAGCGGCGAACGCAGCGTCCCACTTCCACATCCTCGTGGGTGGTGTACATCTCCTGCAGGCACTGGCGGATGTGGGGCGCCACGCGTCGCAGCACCTCCCGGCTCATGATCACCCCCGGGCCGCCCATGCAGAAGTTCTCTCCGGGCTCCAGGGCCAGCTTGCCCAGCTCGTCGCGGGCACCCATGCCCGTCTGGCCCAGGAGGACGGCTTCGCTGCTGTTCAGGCTCCGCAGGAAGGCCTCCAGCCGGTCGCCCTTGACGTAGACGTCGTCGTCCGCCCGCATGAACCACTCGAACTGCTCCAGGTAGTGGTCATGCATGTACTTGAGCATCATGAAAGACTTCTTCTGCGGCGGGTACGAGTCGTCCACGTTCTTCAACGCCACGATGGGGATGGGGATGGAGGTGTCGGAGCCCTCGCTGGAGAAGAACTCCACCTGGCCTGGAATGGTTTGGGCCCAGGTCCTGCCGATACAACAACTGAGTGCAGACTGGAAACCAGCTCAAACCAATTCACCCACAGGCATAACTAAAAGTTCTAGGCCCCATGACAGAATGTCACTTTGGGTCCCCTGCTTGGGTTGAAACTATCAATCTGAAGAAATATGGGTCCCATAGTACATAGAACTGCCCAAGTCTATAAAATTATTCTAAAATGTAGAGAATAGTACAAATAAATCCTTCTAAGGATAAGTATGTCCAAACTTTGGTAAAATATTGTGTGTGTATGCGCAGACAAGGCTTGCAACCAAGGATAAGGATAACAGGTTTTTCAAAAATCCACCCTCTGCTCACGGTATAAACAAATCCTATATGCCACAATATCAGCTGGGTCATGCTATGCCTCTTACTGAACGGTGAGCTCTGATGGTGCAGAAAAGAAAAGTCTAGATGGAATTTAATCCGTCAGAAAGTCTCTAGCAGACATCAATTCACCTATGACTTCGTGACATTATTCCATTAGGGAAGGGACGTAATTCTGCCAACTTAGTGAAATTCAGTTGAGATTTCCCATGTTCCCTATGGGGAGAGATAGCAAAGCGGAGGCACTGATATCAACTCATTTCACTCCACTTCTGCTTTCAGTTAGCAGCATAATTTACAACCTGACAAACAGGTCTACACATACAGCCTAATTAACCAACTTCATGGAAGGAAAAATTCTATTTCCAGGGTTTCCAATGTATTTTTAAAGAAGCGACCAGGATGACTTCCCTACCCCCAGATGAAGGGGGGATTTTAGTCCCAAAAATGCCCCCCCAAGGGCATGCGGTTTCTCAGTTTGAGACATTATTGAAAGCTGATCCAGTGCTAGTCATTCACGCCGGCGATCAAACACCAGCAAAAAGCTCATGGCCGCCAGATTTTCCGCAGATCCGGGCAGGTAAACGCAGTTATGTGCCCCCAGATCCACAGCAAAGGGACCGTATCCGGCTCTTTCCTGTAAGTCTTCGCTACTTTCGGGCGACACGTGTCTAACTCAGGCAACTTTCACGCAGCACACCGTAAAGCCGATCCTAGCACTTTTGCAATTTCGGATTATATGCCAGCTAAATTTCGTTATCTGAGTACTTGTACAACCTGCAATGAGACAGTTGAATCTAATCAAATTTATTAAATGGCGTCGTTTAATACGTTTATTCTACAGAACAGTGCAAAGAAATTGAGGAACTAAAAGGCGACGCAGAGAGAGGAACTCACTGCTCTGCCCGATGCATAAAAACGGAAATATGCGGAAATAAAAGTGACAGCTGTCAATGCATTAGCTCACAGTAAGAGGTTTGCTTTCGGTTACCTGTATGCAGCCACTGCGCGATTCTTCAGGTACTTCTGCGCCGTCATAACGCCGACAAAAAGGAAACTCTTGGACGGGGGCACAGGCTTGTCAGTCGCCGACAATCTGGTGCCATGTCGCCGCCAAGGCAGCGCACCGTCCGGCTCTTTCCTGGGAGCCCTGTACAGCGTGCAGCCCCCCGGGCTCGATGAGCCTTTCTGGCCACCTTTCCTGAACTCGCTGGCCCTCGGCAGAATAAATCTGGAAGCCAGGGTGAATCCGACCACTAAGCCCAGGAGAACGCTGCACCATGCTCTCCGGCTTCGGGGTGCCATTCCGTCCCAGCGATCGCCCTGGCTGGCCAGCCTCCACGGCAGCCTTTCACACCAGATCACAGCACCGTACAGGTACCCCGATCACACTCTTTCATGATTAAAAAAGGGGATCCCCCAGCACCCGCCGCCTCACATCCATCCGCGAAGAGCCACCGTACAAAGCGCCTTCCTCACGTCACCCCGTCGATCATCAAGCACACGGCCTTTGGCATTCATTGGGAATAAAGAAGCTTCTCCGAAATGATAGGTTTCTTCTTTTCCCCGAGGAGCTCCAATCTCCATGTCCGTCTCGCCATTGTAAGAATGTGCAGAGTTCAAACGTGCGACTCTAACTGCATGGTTTGGCCCCGCCGTGTTTCCGTAGGTGGGCTCTGATTGGTCACGTTGGCTGCACTAGTGCTACGTGTTAAAACTGAAAACTTGCCCCAGTGCAGATAGCGAAGACATTTTTAAATATTAAAGGCTAAAAGAAAAAAAAATCTAAAAAGAAAAAAAAATCTAAAAAGAAAAACTGAATGAAATTCTGCATGTTTAAATTTTATGATATGCACTTTCCATACAAGTAGCATTTTAAAACTGAATGAAACATCATTATCATCGAAGGATAATGCAAAAAATGCCAAAACAGATCAGAACCAATAAGTTAACATTTTTGCGTTGTTTGCAAAGATGAGCATCTGTCAAACTCACATTAATCTGCATAGAAAACTAAGCCTTACAGAAGCGCCATCTGGCGGATAGTCTTTACAATTTTGGCTTTTAATTGACATAATTGATCTACACCGATCAGCCAGAACATTAAAATCAAGTGAACTGTCAGGAAAATAGGCAAAAATAAGGATCTGAGCGAGGGCCAAATTATGATGGCTAGACAACTGGGTCAGAACATCTCCAAAACAGCAGATCTTGTGTGGTGTTCCTGGTATGCAGTGGTTAGTGTCTAGTAAAAGTGGTCCAAGGAAGATCAACCATTGAAGCAGTGATGGGGTCATGGGTGATTTGGGTGGGGAGTGAAGGCTAGCCTGTCTGATAGCACAAATTGCTGAAAAAATTAATGCTGCACATGATAGAAAGGTGTCAGAACAGAGTGCATCGCAGCTTGCTGTGTATGAGGCTGCATAGCCAGACTGGTCAGAGTGCCCATGCTGAAAGTGTCTGAACACTGAAGTCACACTTGAAGTCCGTTTGAAAAACACTTTTGTTGCTTGGCTTTTAACTCGGGATAGGATGGCTGGATTTGTGCCTTGTTTGCCTGGGGAAGAGATTACACAAACAGGCAGAGACGCTGTGATGCTCTGGGCTATGTTCTGCTGCGAAAGCTTGGGTCCTGCCATTCACGTGGATGTTGGTTTGACACGTACCACCTACCAAAACATTGATGCAGACCAAGTACACCCCTTCATGACAACAGTATTCCCTGATGGCGGTGGCCTCTTTCAGCAGGATAATGTGCCCTGCCATACTGCAAAAATTGTTCAGGAATGGTTTGAGAAAAATAGTTCAAGGTGTTGACTTGGCCTCCAAATTCCCCAGATCAAAATCCAATTGTTGGATGTTCTGGACAAACAAGTCTGATCCATGGAGACCCCACCTCAAAATTTACAGGACAGATCTGCTGCTAACGTCTGGGTACCAGAACCTACAGGACACCTTCAGAGGTCTCGTGGAGTCCAGGCCTCGACGGGTTAGAGCTGATTTTGGCGACATGAGGGGGACACAAAATTAGGCAGGTGTCTTTAATGTTATAATCAGCTTATGCATGCACGAATGGGAATGTACATTTAACATATGTATATTTTTTTACTAAAGATAATGACCCTTTTGAGTGAATACCTAAGTATTTATAGTATGTCAGTAATTTATTGGAAATATTTGGAATAAGTCAACAAACTTGCATATCTGCATCGAGCAATAAGTCCAGTTAGACGGACTGTTACAGATTTGGGAGTTTGAATCAGTAGTGTAGGAGTAATGTCACCTTGGGTCCCCCTCCTCTGGTTTGAACCTCAGCTCTGCTCTGTGTGTGTGGAGTCTTCACGGTCACCCTAGGGCTTGTAGATCTGCTCTGGAGGCTCCAGTGTTCACCCACAGTCCAAAGACATGCATTCAGGCGGTCTGCTCTCTCTGAATTACCCATGGAGTGAGTGTGCAGGTGCCCCAAGGCGTTACTCTCCTCCAGTCTCTATGCCACCTGGATCAGGCTCCAGCCCCCCAGTGACCCTGCACTGGATAAACAGCTGGAACATGCATAGATGGGACCATTGAACAGCCATGCACAAGACATGGTACAGTTTCAGTGCTCTAAGACACTAGTTTTCTTGGTTTCATGGCAGTGTTTCCCAATCCGGTCCTCGGGGAGCCACATATAGTCCACATTTTTGGTTAGGAACAGGGAGGGGGAACAGAGGGAGTAAAAACACAGATTAGCTGTGGGTCCAAGGACCAGATTGGGAAGCACCGTTTTAAGGCACATTAATGTGTTTGTACGTTCCTGGATTTTATTTCACTGTTTTTCAGCATGATACAGGTATCCTTCAGCAATTTCTCTGCATGCAGATACATCATTCTATGCTGACGTTTCCTTGTCCCGACCAAAGAAACAGCTTTTTGGGGTACTGCAGCCCCGATGTTTCTCCAGGCAGTTATTATGCTTCATTGGGTTTTCATCACACATAAAAGTTCGAGTGGTAGAAAAAAAAAAAAAACACCACATTGACTTAAATACAAAATAAGCCTAAATTTACTTTTTAGCTTCAGACACCCTCACCCAGTAAAATCTAAATGTGTCCTATATGTGGACCATGACCGTAACTTGAGCGTAAGAATAATTCCTGTCACCAAATTCCTGCTAAAAACCCTGATTACAATCCCTGCTGTCCAGTCCTCAAATGGGACCTCAAGCCCAAAACGGTTACATTTAGTGCTGTGGTGGGAATTTAATCCAAGAAAAATTTAGTAATATCAGCACTAAAGGTTAAATGTAGTTGCTATTAGAGCAAATTATTGTCTAAAATATCCACGACAGATGCTGAGCTACATCCTTGCAGTCTAGGCAGTGAATCATTTTGCTGTGCGCAAAGACATCCAAAATGTTCCAGTAAACACCTTTAACACACCAACTTTAGCTATGCGAAAACCCTACTTAGAACTTAAACCGTGTAAAATTAAGTCTACTTATCTGCAGCTGTTACTCTACCACATACTGAAGCTATCAGCTACCATGAATCCACAGGAAGCTGCTATTTATGATCATGTCACACCAAAAAGTGTGAACACGCCTTAAGGCTGTGACTGAACTCAAACCGAATGCACCAAATTAGATTAGTTCAGACTGCAGAGCTGTGCACAACACAGCCGAAAACCCATAACAAGAGGACGGCCATTTGTACAGAAAAGTTTAATGCATTTTACATTATCTTACAACATAAAAAATAAAACGCCACCTAAACTAAAAGCCTGGAAAGCAGACACTAGAGTCACCACCAGCACCCATCTTTCTTCACACTGATCCGTTGGCCTGACCGTCGTCCTCCATTTCCTCTTCATCCCCTCCTTCCTCATCCTCTCCTCCACCATCACCCATGGCTTCTCCCTCCATCGGCATTTCGGCGCCACCGTGTGCACCGTCTTCCATTTCTTCTTCCTCCTCCTCTTCCTCCACCATGCCTGTAGGGTCTGAAGCGGAAAAGGTTTACAGACACCAGTAATCAAACACAAAAGGCTAATCGTCGTGCCCACAGCTCCTACAGCAGGGTAGCTTGAGACCACCAGTTCCTCCTTAACCACCTCGCTACCATGCCAGCCTGATACGTACCTTGCCTCAGCTCCCTCCCAGGGATCTGGCCGGCCTGCAGCAGCCCTTTCAGTCTCTCCACCTCAGCCAATGAGGTAGCGCTGGCGATGGCATTCTGAAGAACCGAAGGACACCCGTTAGGTCATGCATCTCCACAAACACGGACACACCCATAACCTGCACTCCGGAGCCCAAGGGGGACTTCGCGGCCAGCCGTTACCTTGATGGCCTCCACGTCAGCGGGCGAGGGACCCGTCTTTCTCTTTTCAGCCTGTAGGTTTGCTCCAGGGGTGAACCTGAAAGACAGCATGCGGTCAAACCACTTTCCTCAGCAGAGCTTCTCCGGTCTGCCCTCGGCTGGACCGAGCAATCAGTGTAGTATCTCATCTTTGTCAATATACTGATACAACAGGGAACACTTCCAAAAAAAAACCCTCTTAGAAACACTGACATACAGGTTTTGGTTTTTGCAGAAATGTGTCCGGAGAATTAATATCCAATCAGCAATTTCTTAAAAGCCTCTGTGCTCCCCTCTGGCCCATTTTGGTCACTCCAATCCACAGGCCAATTCTCAGTGTTTCTGAAGGTCTGTGAGCAGGCAAGAGCAGTCATCTTACGTTTTGGTTCGCTTGGCAATATCCTTTGCAAGCTGTGCACCCCGTTTGCCTTTGAACATTTTCTCCGCCTCCTGACGCTCCTATGGCGATACGTCACACAGTTACAGAGCATTGCTTTCGACCAGCCAGACTTCCAGGGCACCGTGCTTCCCACTGCTGTTGGGAAGCACGCCATCCCAAGAAACGTCCCAATTACACAATATACATGCAGCATCCCCATTCAGGTTATTTATTTTTTAATGCAGATTATAAACTACCATGATTATGCAGAAACAGAACAGCAACTACTACACCAGAACCTGCTGAGTTTCTCCATCAGCTTACCTTTAACTTGACCCTCTCAGACCATGGGTCTGACACTAACAAAGCCCCTTACAGCATGCTCGGTTCATCTCCCACTTTACCTTTAACTTGACTTTTTGAAAATCAAGCACCCGCAACTGTGGAATTTTGTTGATGACGTAAAGGCGGTAGTGCTTCTTATTGGTCACTGGGTTCCGCAGTAGGCTGAGGAAAAAAGGGTAAGCAAGATGAAAAAAAATGTTTCAATTATTTTTGTTAGTTATCCAAAGTGTCGGAATTTCGTGCGATAAGTAAAGAAGAATGTTACCTGAGCAAAGTTAAGCTTTTTATGGATGCCAGAGGATCCAGGTCTCCCTTTCGGAATATAAAGAAATCCGTGCATTTAAACATTTCAGAAAATGCGAACACAAAACGACATAAGCTCTTTCCCTGCCTACAATGCAGTTTTCAGCAACAAACGGGGCTTCTGGGTTCCAGACATACCAACTCCTGGATGCTGTTGTTGGTGAGAATTAATTCCTTCAAATTGGGCAGCGACTGTTCGAGGTCTTCGCCTATCCGACTAGGGTGAATAGGAATAGGAAATTAGGCTTTAAACACTACCACAAACTAAGTAAACAGAAAAAGAGTTAAGGGTATTTACCATATCCTATTATTATTCATCAGAAGCGTCTTCAGTCTCCTTAGCAAAGGGAAGCCGTCCAGTTTTCTGATTTCATTTTCAGAGAAATCGATGGTGTCAAATTGGTCCAAAGTTGCTCCGAGGTTTTCAAGTACAGGTATTTTATAACCTAGATGGAAACAGACAGCATAATTTTACTGGATTTTAGACCAAAGACACAAAACAGCAAATGTATGAATAGCAGCGGGCCTGAACTACCGCGCTTTTTATAGATGCTAAACAATTGAATCGGCGCACCTCGCAGGTCCAGCTCCCGGTCCCGGATGGGGTTGGTATACTGAGCCGCTTGCTCGATGAGCTCCGCCGACAGTTTTACCATGCTGAAAACTGTAAATTACACAGACGTAACAAACTCCCGGACAGAAACGCGCCGAGCTTCCCACACGCCACTTACCGGATATAGAGTCACATCCCAGCATGCATTGGTAGGCTGCCACAGAATTCAACACCGTGAGAATTGGAAAATCTAAGGTCCTCGCCGGGGATGTGCTGCCATCTGCTGTCCAGGAGGGCAAAAAGTGGGCGAAGCTCAACGCTTGGTTGTCTCCTTTCTCTTTGACTTGCTTTTTTCTCCATCTTTTCTCCCCGTTACACTCCCTACCATATTTGTCTTTCCACGTATAGACAAAAATTCAACTAATTAGTCTTAGATTTTTGCATTTTAACTGCATCCAATTAAAAGTTGTTTCATTTCTACATATTGGCTGGACAGCCAGTAACTTAATATAATTAACAGGTCCAGTACTGACAGAATGCTGTTCAGATTGAAATGAAAGAGAACAAAAGCTCAGTCATTTTCCCACCCTATTTTTCATAACAGAACCTCCAGGACTCGACTTCAAGGTCACTGCTCACCAGTTTTGAACTGCTGATAGTTATGAGAGATATATATATATATATATATATATATATATATATATATATATATATATATATAGAGAGAGAGAGAGAGAGAGAGACACACACACACACACACATACACACACTACTCACAATAAGTTAGGGATATCGTGAGAGACTTAGTGGATGTCATACATACGGTGTTTGCTTCACTTCAGACATTTTTGGGATAGGGAGGCAATTGTATTGGGGTGATAGACACACCTCATGTTGTGTTTTCCATGTAATGGTCTCATTGTGTACAGGTGTGCCTTATTGGGGCCAATACCAAAAGACAACCTTTTTCAATGTGGCATCAATTTCAACAGTCTGTGGGTATAAAAAGCTGGTATTGTCAGTAAGTCATTCCAAGTTCATCATTCAAGCAGCCATGAACACACGACGTCACTTAACGGCCATGGCGCGCCTTCGGGTCGGTGGCAGGCAGTCAGATGTTGCTCGTGAACTTGGTGTGTCTCAAAGTGTCATCAGCAGACTTGCATCAAGACACAGAACTACTGGCAGGACAGGACAGACTTCAGGACAGACCCAGGAGTGGAGCCCCACGAGTGACAGACCGCAACGATGACCAGTAACTAAGGACCTATGCATTCAGACATCGTTATGCAACTGCCACACAGCTGCAGGCCCGTTTACGAGATGCGAGGGGTACTAGGGTTTCCAGACAAACCATTCGCAACCGACTCCACCGCTTTGGCTTGAATGCCAGACGACCGTTGCAGGTGACTCGACTTACACCGAGACACCGCCGAGAACGTTTGCAGTGGGCACAAGACCATGTGACCTGGACAATGCAGTAGTGGTCTACCGTCCTGTTCACTGATGAGTGTCGGGTCACCTTGCACAGAAATGATGGTCGTCAGCGTTGTGGAGAAGGCGAGGTAAGCGATACACTGAGGTCAACATGGTCCCCAGGGTTTGCTTTGGTGGAGGAGGTGCAGCAGTCTGGGCAGGCATCACCAGTCAGCGCAAAACAGATTTGGTTAATGTACATGGCTCAGTCACTGCACGTTCTTACCTCAGAGACATCATCATCCCCCAATTCCGCCAGCACACCCCCAACTTTCTGTTCATGGATGACAATGCTCCACCACATCGTGGCAGAATTGTCACAGCTCGACTTCAGGAGGTTGGAGTGCCTCATATGGTATGGCCATCAATGTCCCCTGACCTGAACCCCATACAGGACGTCTGGGACCAGTTGAAGCAGAGACTGGATGATCGTACCCCACCCCTACGTGGCCTGGCAGAACTGCGTGTAGCACTTGTGGAAGAGTGGAACGCATTGCCTCAGGACAGAGGCTAGTGAGGAGCATGAGACGTCGCTGTCAAGCTGTCATTGCGGCAAATGGTGGAAACACCCACTACTGACATTGTCAGTTGTTGTTATTTGGGGCTGTCCCTGTTATTGTGTACATTTTTGGGGTAATAAATATTAAGCTAATGACAATGGTGTTTCTTCTCATACATTATTAGTAATATCAAAGGGAACTTTTACATATTTCATTAACATTCAGAGCAAATTGGAAAAGCACTCATGTACATTACAATATCCCTAACTTATTGTGAGTAGTGTGTGTGTGTGTGTGTATATATTATTATCATTATGGATTTTTGGGTTTGCAAGACAATTTGTTGGATTTAAGGCACTCTGGGCTAAATAAAAGTGAATGAAGTTAGAGTCCATTTAAAGTGGAATACCTTCAATCCGAGCACTTGCCTAGCTAACCACCAAATCCTGGGGGCCATCCACAAAGCTGGGGGGTGTCCCATGAAGCAGAAACCCAAACCCGAATGTAACAAAATGAAACTTATTCATAATTAAATTATGAAATTTATTATACATTTAGAAATAAATGTTACAATCCAAAATGCATGTGAACCATGTGGATAATTACATAATTATATATCACAATAGTATATAGAAATACATTAGTATAATAAAATATATTACCATTAGGCAGGATTCAAATGACATCTGCCTTGTCAACATGCCTAGAAGGGGAATCAATCAGGCTAAATGACTGGTCGATTAAAAAAACCATTTCAATTAAAAAATAGGTTCAAAGGAAGTAGTGTGCTCTCAATTCTAAGCCACAGTGCAGGTACTTGCTCCTGCGAGAATAAGAAAAACTTGGAAAAAAATGTTTTACTTGTTTTTATTTGGTCTTGAGATCATTTAACAAAATCAAAAGCATAACAAAAGGGATGGATAGTTTCTGAAACCCATACCCCTACAATCCCACTAAATGTACCATAATAAATCTATACTACTGAATGTGATCTTTGATGAGTTTGGTTTTTTCTTACAAAAACTGCAAACAATTCCAATGTTTTCTTTTTTTTATATTTGATTGTAAAAGCTTTACAAGCACTGCAGTGCTGAAAGAATATTATGCTATCAGTTCGTCAGTACACCCAGTACTTAGACTGCGTAAAACCCCGTGATCGGTTTCACCTGACGTGCTGGTTTTTTAAAAACCTTGATATGTAAGTATCATTTTCAGTCACGTTGTGATCATATGACATGAAGGGGTGACTCTTGTGATTATGCAAGTGTCATAGCACACAGCACAATTCATCAAAGCCTAACGATTGAGAAAACGTACAACAGGCAATAGAGTTGATGTGTGATGTGGTGTTCCTCCTCTTCCTCAGCCCATGTGGCACGTCTTACAACAGAATTGCCGGAAGGGCTTCTTCTCACAAAGTCTGTTAGACCTCACCATCTCGCAAAAGACCTCGTCCGCTGCAGAGCAGGGGTGAAACATGGTTGGTTAGGTGCAAATGAGATATGGGCCCCTCATCTGCTAAGACCCCAGCCCCAGCCTGCTGGACCCAAATTCTTCCCCTGGGAAAGTACTGGGCAATGGCAGCCTATAGCATGCAAATACGCCCAGCAAGAAGCAGCAGAAGATCCTTAAAAGGTTAAGATACCAAGCAAAGCTTCTGTCACTCCATTATTGCTGCACTGATGCCTCAGGGTGACCTTCATTGTGGCCTGAATACCAAACCGTAAGGTCCATTGAGCTTTCTCAATAGTCCTCTCACAACCTATGGCCTCTGTACACCCCCCAGCCCAGGTATCCCCCCTCAGAACTCCACTGTTAGAGCAGTACTCCTGCACACCAGGAAGCTTGCTCTCACTGATCTTACCATTGCTACAGATGTTACTGATAATGCAGATTCCACCCAGGAGGCTGTAGCCCTCTTTGCACCTGGAACAGGCAATCCCAGGTGAGCTGCAGCTCAGGCACTGGTCCTGACACCTGGCAACCACAGATAACACTGTTCACCTGGCACACTGGCTTCTTCCTCCTGGTCAACCTGCACAGACTTGGTGAACCATTGCGGAGCACTGCTGTGCTATGGGGTCATCCCTACCCATTCAGGCATTTGTGAGGTACTACGGAGAATAACAATCACGGCTGGCTCACCGACTAACAGCTTCTTTCCAGACATCCTGTTCTGAGCCTCGGGCTTAGCACAGGGTCCAGGTTAGTTTGAGAACTTTGCTGTTCATCAAGCGAGCAGCCCTGTACACAAACCTGCTGCACAAAAGCAAAGACTATATGTTGCTACTAACATGCTGTCCTGCCCCGATCGTCTGCTCCTTCCGTGTGCCACGTCCCCCTCGTTAACCTCGTGTGGGATCCCTGTGTGATTAGCTGTTTCTGGTTGTTGCCATTAGTCCTCTGTATTTAGTCCGCGTTTCAGTTTGTTTCCCCAGTCCGGTCATTGTATTGTCCGTCTATGTTTTGCTTGCCTTATCTATAATTAAACCCTGTATTCCCTGACTTGCCATCTCTGCTTGTGCTTCTCTGGATTACTGCATGACAGAATGACCAGACGCGCAAAAAAGACGCCTCGCCTAACTGAGGCTGAGTATCTCGGTTTGGCAGCTGAGGTGTTATACTGGTTCAACCAGCCAGATATTCAGGAGGATCCCGCTACCCGAGCTCTTGCCATCCGGACAAGGAACCTCCTGGAATCAATATCCCCATCTACCAACCCAAACCTTATGGATGAAGTTCGGCAGAACCTGCTACAGCTGCGGAGCGGGGTAGCTGAGGCTATGCTCAGGCAGGTGGCCCTGGATAGTGGACTGCCTCTTTCCCTGCTGTCCACGCAGCCCGAACTCTCCGCCACGTAAGAATCGCAAACGGGGGGTCGTGTTAGAAGCCCTTCCAGGATCTGACGCTTCGCTGCAGACACCTGACGTCTCCATTGCCGCCATCCTCCTCGAGTCGGGGCTCAAAGCCTGCACAGCTGCTGCTTCGCCTGCGTTTCAGGATAGTCTGCCTGCAGCTTCATTGCCATCTGCATCTGAGACCCTGGCCCAGCGATTCTTCGCCCTTCAGGGTATATCTGCAGGAGATACCGCTGCGCCTGAGGTGCACGCAGCGCCCCCAAGGTTCCTGCTTCGCCCCCCTAGTTTCCTATGTCTCCTGCTCAGTCCCCCATGGTTCCTGTGCCTCCTGCTCAGTACCCCGTGGTTCCTGTGCCTACAGCGCCCCCCTGAGGTTCCTGTGCTGGTGGTGTCTGCAGCACCCCCCATGGTTCCAGTGCCGGTGGTGCCTGCAGCGCCACTTGTGGTTCCTGTGCCGGCAGTGCCTATAGCACCCCCCATCGTTCCTGTGCCGGCGGTGCCTGCAGCACTCCCCATGGTTCTTGTGCCGGCGGTTCCATCAGCACCCCTCGACATGCCGGTGTTGGCGGTTCCTGCAGCACTCAACTGAAGTTCCTGCGCAGACGGATCCTGCAACGCCCCCTGGGGTTCCTGTTTCGCTGGCTACAGCTTCATCCTCCGTGGTTCCAGTCCCTGCTTCATTCTCCATGGCTCCAGTTCCTGCTCTGTCCCCCATGGCTCCAGTTCTTGCTTCGCCCCCAGTGGTTCCAGTCCCGGTGGCTGATGTGCCGCCCTGTGAGGAGCCAGTTCTTGTGGTGCCCGCTCCTGAGATTCCTATCCCCGTGATGCCCGTGCCTGAGGCCCTAGTCCCGCCAGCTGACGTGCCGTCCTTTGAGTTTCCGGTCCCAGTGGCTGACGAGGTGCCCACCTCCAAGGTTCCCTCACCCGTGGTCCCTGACACGCCGCCCTGCGAGGCCCCAGACCCAGCGACTGAAGCGGCGCCCGGTGAGACCTCAGTTCCAGGCAGCCGGCACACTGCCCCCAATGGTTCCAGTCCCGGCGGCCGACTCGCCACCTCCAGCGGCTCCAGTCCCGGCGGTTAACGCGCTACCCCCAGCGGTTCCCGTGCCTGATGGTCTGACCATCGCTCCTTCCTCCTTGATGGAGCTGGCAGAGAAGCTTGAGTGGGACCCCTTGGGGATAACCCTCACTGTCCCATTGCACCCCTCTGGTGGGTCACCCCGACTGCTACCTCATCATGGCAAATTCCAGCCAGGGTCCCATCTTTCGGTCTCCCAGAGAGGGAGAGGACACTGGCGTCGGGGTCAACGCCCTACCTCTCAGTCGCCAGGCGTCGACTCAACGGTCACCAGCAGGCCCTCCAGCTCCTGATCGGTGGTCACCTGTGGGCTCCCAGGCTTCAGGTCGGCAATCGCCCTCTGCTTCACCCATGTCGCCTCGTCAGCTGGAGCCGGCCCTGCCTCCGGCGCTTCGTCGATCGCCTGCGGGTCTCCCACCTGCAACTCGTGGCTGCGCCTCCGCCTGTCATGGTTCCCTTCTCCCCTCCAACACAGTCCCCTTCGGCTCCCTCCTCGCCATCTCCACCAGCCCCTTTACCTGCTTCCTCGCCACTCTTGACGTCCCCTTCAGCCTCTGTTCCGGTCGCCTGCTGCTCCGGCGGCCCCGCCTTACACCTGCCGTGGGTTCCTTCAGCTCCACGTTACCCCTTGCCCTTGGCTTCCTTGCCCCCTGTGTTCACTCGCCATCCTGCTCCACCATCGTTCCCTCCTAATCCCTTTGTACCCCCTGTGTTTATTCCCCATCCTGCTCCACCATTGTTCCTTTCTAGTCCCCTTGTGCCCCCTGTGTTTGCTCCACGTCCTTCCGTGCCGTTGTCCCCTGCTGGTCCCTATTTGCCCTGTGTTTCCTCTTCATCCTTCCGTGCCGTTGTCCCCTGCTGGTCCCTATTTGCCCCGTGTTTCCTCTTCATCCTTCCGTGCCTTCGTTCTCTGGTGTGGTTCCTCCATTGTCCCCTTTAGTGTTCCCCGGTCCTGTGTTTCCGATTTTGGTGTCTTTGTATTTGTCCACCTTCCCCGTGGTTTGTAGCTTGTTTGAGTTGTCTTCCTTGTGCCAGTTCTGTGTGTCCGTGCTGTTCCCTGTGCCCCGTTGATGTTGTTGCTTTTCCCTCGTTAACCTTGTGTGGGATCCCCATGTGATCAGCTGTTTCTGGTTGTTGTCATTAGTCCTCTGTATTTAGTCCACATTTCAGTTTGTTTCCCCAGTCCGGTCATTGTATTGTCTGTCTATGTTTTGCTTGCCTTATCTATGATTAAACCCCGTATTCCCTGACTTGCCACCTCTGCTCGTACTTCTCTGGATTACTGCATGACAAATGCAATCCAAGTTTGTTAAAAAAAAATAATACCACAAAATAGAAGAGCAGCGTATGGACATCTATAAACTAGACGCTCTCGGAATGACAACAATTCATTCCCGGAATGGCGTCGTCATCCCTCCCCCCATCTAATTCCTACACCTTCCACACTCCCCAACCTCTACAGTCTCTGACCCCCCTACAATCTCCCCACCTCTCCAAAAAATCTTTATTAAAAGTCAAACTTTGTATGGCTTGTCTCAATATAATCAGGCTCATCAGATCATCAAGACTAAGTGACACTGCTTCAATTTTGGTGCATATTGTCTCAACATGAAATAGGTCACAGATCATCACCAATACAATGCTCCTGGGAAATTTGAAAAAGAACCAGCAAATACTATTAGAGTTGCTCATTTGGAAAAGTGTCTTCTGCAGTTGCCAACTATGTGCCACCTAGTGGCTTTGCTTCAGTTTTGGGGGGGATTTGTCTCAAAATGAAATTAGGTGTAGATCCATATAATTTTTTGTCATGCGCTAATAACATCCATCAAATTTTTTTGAGTTGTCATGTTCACTATGTCAAGTATCTTCTGAAGTTCAAAATTTTCATATTCAACAAACCTTTGGCAAACATTCTCCGTCTCTGTATCACAAGGCTCTCACAAATGGCAGGTATGGTTCACACTTCTCCGCACAGGTACCAGCGGACGTGTCCGCTCAAACGTTTATGACGTGTTTGACGTCATTGTGCGCCTCTGCAGACGAACGCCTGCTGCACTGCAAATTTGTGTCTGCAGACACACTGAACATGATCGATTTGCTAGCGTCCACTGAAAATATCAGCATGGATGCTTTTGACGAGTGTAAATGTATGTGTATGTGAGTGCAGACTTGTCCTGAAGCCCTGTGAGCTGCCTCTGAATTTGTAAAACATAGAGAAACGGGCACAAACCTCACTGCTGTAGTACGTTTGCAGGGAATATCAGAATAATAATTTATGATATTATTGTTAATAAAAAATTAAACGCTTTTTTGGAAAAATGAAATCTAGGACTTATTCACCGCGATGTACTGTGCTTCAGGGCATCCCTAAATTATGCAATGCACGCAGTGCAGGTGAGAGATTCAGATGAGTCCTTTCTGCTGGAATAGCCCTGATTTATAGGAAATTATGGAAATGGAAAATGGAAGAAGAGCAAACAAAAATGGAGAAACAATGAAACTAGAAAAGCAGACAGGAGACGGTGAGGGAAGCAGAGTGAACACTTTGAAGAAAACAGCTCATCAGTGACATTCAGCTGCACAGGATCCTAAAGGGACCATCACCCGCTGTGAGCTCCATCTCAAAGCTGACATCCACTGGCACAAGTGCTCTGTGGGTAAATAACAGCAGGTCTATCTCTACTGCTTTTCCAGATGTGGTTTTCAGCTGTGGTCCCGGCACACTGTGCTGTGTGCAGGTGGAACTGGAAAACAGTTCTCTTTAAACTGCCTTTGGGCTCAGGCTTGAGCAGAAATCACAAAATCTCATTAAATCTCACTGTCACCGCTATTGTTCATAACTTACAGCTTATAATAAACAATGAACTGCATGATGGGTGGGGCTGCTGTGTACTACCAATCACCTCTTGCTTCAACTGAAATGGAAACAATGTAACTAATATGAAATAGAATTTTGTGAATCAGGGAATCCCACCCACATTTACTCCCATCACTGCCATTAGAACAGCACCTATAACTACCATTATCACTGGCTACAATGATCATTTCTGCTCTTTCTACTCGATCTAGGGACTTTTGAGTTACAGATGCTCACTTTTTGCATATCGTTGAACCTGTAGCGGTGCTCTGAGTGTAGTAGCCTTGGCTGCACGAGGACACACACAGCAACTCCTCCTTCAGAAAGCCTGGGGCGCACAGAATACAACCTTCTTTTCCTGGTCCTGAGGAAGAAGCCAACAGCTAGAACTGGGCAAACACGTCCCTTACTGCCATTATTCATCTCCATAGCTGGATTTTGAAGTACTCCAGCACTGTATACACTGGGTTGGTCTGTTCTTTACTTCTCATAATTAACATGCTCTTACTCATACTCAACCTGCCCTACCTTTGCCCTACTAGATTAACGTGTTCCCAACCCACCCAATTAACACATTACTGCTAACACTCAACAATAACACTTACTCAGCCACCTGTGAACTCATGCATTAATGATCCATTAAAAGTCATAAAGACATAGAGTATCTGTCTTTAGGTTTGTGGAACAGTGAGGGAGACTGATGTGCTCTGAAATACAGAAGTATTTACCTTTGCAGGTGGAACAGGACTGGTGGCAAGAATTACATTTCTCCTCTGGGCTTAAGAATGTCCCATCAGCACACTCAAGCACACAGGTGGTACGTGACAGCCTGAACACACAGAAATTAAATAAGTCAGTGTTTATGTCAGTAATTAATTAAGAAACTACAAAAGACCAACATTCACACAGATTTTGGATACATTTTACCTCTGTGTTAACTGAATGAATTGGGTTTAAATTCAAAGCCAACATAGCGTGTTATTAAAGATTCTTTCTTCGGTTTGGTTACCCATTACCTGTAGCCCTCTTTGCAGCTTGTACACGTGTCAAAATCATGCCAACATGTCCTGCAGTTATCGTGGCATCTTTCACACTGCCTGTGGACTGGTGACAGAGAGTCAGGGACACCATGGTTTGAACTCAAAAGCCACACACACACATGTATAGAGAGCAGGCTATGAGCTATCATGGTACATGTGTTACTAAGAGTCTGCTACTGTCACAATGGAATCTATCTTAATGGAATCTGGTACTACTACAATGGAATCAATCACCATGGATTCTATCACTATCCAAATGGAATTTATCATAATGGAGTCTGTCACTATCTCAATGGAATCTATAACAATGGAATCTGTCAGAACAGAATCTGTCATAACGGGACTGTCACCAACACAATGCTGTGACTGTCTGTCTGTCACTAACATAATGGGATCTGTCACAACGGGACTGTCACCAACACAATGCAAAGTATCACAAATGATCACTCTGTCACTACCACAGCAGATCCAATCATAATGGAGTCCAGCACAATAGAATAGACCTCCTTAGCACCCCAGCTTCCAGAAGGCAGTGAGGCCCACGAACCGTAGTTCACGTAATGACCGAGGGGACAGCTGAGCACGCAGGTGTGGCTCTCGGGCTGCAGGTAGAGTCCTTTGCGGCAGGAGTGACAGTGGTCAGGCGCCCCGCCCTGGCACCGCTCGCAGCCATGCCTGCAGCGTCTGCATCTCCGGGCCGCTTTGTCCTCATAGAAGCCCACGGGACAGTGGCTGACACACGTCCTGTGTACGAGAAGCAGGTGCTGCTCTGATGGTGGGGCAGTCTGACAGAGCAATACACCCCCACATGTGTGAGGTAGCAGAACCTGGGCCTATTACCCACATATCAGCCCGAAAGAGTCTCCCTGCATTATCCCAGGTGCAGCAGAGAGCTTCAGCCATATGAATGTAACTGATTACAGATTATATCATTAAGTTGTGTGTGTGTGTGTGTGTGTGTGTGGCAAAGTGTAGTAAAACCTGAAACACTTCTTCAGGTCCCCACTTGGATAACCTCAATTTAAAAAAAACCTGTAAATGCAATCAAAAAAGTAAAAATGCCAAAAGTCTTGCACAGTGGTACCTCGGTTCTCGAACTTAATCCGTTCCGGATCCTAAAAAGTTCAAGTTCTGATCGAATTTTTCCCATAAGAAATAATGGAAAACCAATTAATTGGTTCCCGGCCCCCCAAAATTACACCTAAAT